TCTATTTTCTGTTTCTTTTTCTTGAATCATATGTTTGGTTATTATGAGAATTAAGATGGACAATTGCTGGACGGTGCATAGCCCCTGTACTATGTCCATGTACCTTTTTTTATATATATATATATATATATTCTGGCCGATATATATCGGATATCAACCAATATTGGATATCGGTTTCTGAAAACTTGAAAGACATGACCAACATTTTATTTATTCTAATGAGATGGAAGAATCTAAAACCCCATTGTCTCATTGTTTTGTTTTAAACTTTAAAAGTAAAGAGTTAAACTTATGATAATGAATTAGGTTTAATATGGGATTAGTCACTGTTTATAATGGCATGGCATCTCCTGTATTCTTTGGGTCATGCATGGTTAGATGTGTTTAAAATAATCATGTAATGTCTTGTACAGTTAATCCTACTGTGTAAGTAAATATTTAAGTCTAACCTAGAGAAAAACCTGTACATTTATTGTTTAAACTATCAAACTCATTTTAATACTTTATGAGGTAGTTAAAAGCAGTATTAGGTTTTAACAACTCACCTCATATTTTTGGTGCTTCATTTGCTCCATGTAATCAAATTTCTCAGATTCCAGCTGGTAGATCCAGTTCCACATCTCCTGCGCCCGGTTCCTACGAATAAATACACCGTTTTTATTACCAGACTGTAAATGTTGTCGTTTTTATGGTTACATTTTGTTTTATAGCGATTCAGCAGGGTAAGTGGCTCTAGAGTAAAGCTTTAAAGGAATGCACAATTAACCTTGACATTAGACTTTATTTAAAAACATATATATTTTCAATTTAAACATGATGCTGTGAAACAACTGTAAGTTTTTAACCCTATAATGCCAAATGTATCGTATTTGATACATACGGTTTCTGAAATGTTTTGCATCTGACACCTTTTGCATAATTTAATGGTAAAAACTTTGCTCAAAATCCTATTGTACACAATCAGATATACCTGATAACAGAGGGCAGAAGACTACACAAAAAATAATCTTGACTTATCACATAGTAATAAATTATTAATATCAAAAATGTATTTTTCTGTTTTTTCTTTTTACATATTTTGTTAAAAGGGCAAATAAAGAATTCAAACCAAAAAAAAAGTAATTTTCTGTTTTGTTTTATTCTTGGATCGGGCTTTAAAGGGTTAAAGATTTAAATTGCTAAAAAACAAAATTTTAGAAATGTTACATGGATCTTAACAGGTTGTTTGTGCTACACTGCATTTTGGGTAAATGACATATGCTAGGTTGTGTAGCATTAGCTCTAGAGGTGGGCGATACCAGGAATTTTTAATCGATACAATACTAAGTAAATACAGAGTCAGTATCGCTGATATCAATACAATACCAATACTTTTTAACATTTAGGCTTTATGTATTTATTTATTGGGGCAATGAGCAAAGTTTCGTCTCTTCTCTCTGTTTCTGTAGCTCAATGTTTTCTTGCTGGTGTTGGGTTTTCATGTGCTTACATACACTTGTTGTGTTTCCACTGCATTTCCGCTTTTTTTTTACAACCCCTACAGCTTGC